TGGTGCAGGTACTCTCAATCTGCGTGAACGTGTGTATGCTTCAGTCTTTTTTTTGCAAATGGGCTTTCATGCAGCACTCTCAACAAGGACAATGTGGTAAACACCCAACCTTCAAAGAAAAATGCTAATCAAAATCAAAGACTGCTACACAATTGTGATTTCGTATAGCACAAACTGCTATGCGAAAATATGACAGTAAATTCATCCCTGCATATCATATCCCTTCCTCTGGCAGCTACTAATTGTGACAAAGCAGAACAAAACAGATATCAAAGAAGCGCGTCACTCTTAGTTACTTACCCGTGATTCATCCACTGAGGTCTGCAAAATTCACCGCACCCACAATTTAGCCGATGATGCCAGTCATAGAGCACAAGGAAGAATATGAAAGTCATTGGTAAGCAGAAAACCTTACAACAGCATAATATGCATGCACATGTAGATATGCTTCTGATTTACAGTCGTTGACAAAGGAATGCAGCCTAGAGAGCGTGTGTGCGCAGACGTGTGTGTACCGCCATATTGCCAGGTGTGTCTTTACCACCATACGTATAAACCATAAGTACAGCTGCAGTGGATTCTTCAACCTCATTCTCCCGAAACGAAAAGATATGCTTCTTATCAGCTTGACACAAGAAGACTAACACACACCTGTATAAGGTCCCTTCCTCTGACAGCTACTAATTGTGAACAAGCAGAACAAAACAGATATCCAAAAACGCATCACTTCTCGTTACTTACGAGTTCCTTTATTCTTGAGCCCTGCAAAATTCACCGCAGGCCACAATTTAGCCGATGATCCCAGTCATGGAACACAAAAAGAAGAGGATGAAAGTCATTGGTAAGCAACAAACCTTACAACACTACAATATGTATATACATGTAGGTATGCCTATGACATCGTCGTGGACAAAGAAATCAAACCCGTGAGCCGAAATCAGCGCCAAAGCCCTTACTATGGTCGTCAGAGAGGTTCTTGGACAGTGCATGATGTACAGTAAAACCTGTAACTAAAGACCACCCTGACTAGCGACCAGCCTGGTACTACAGACCACCGTGACTAGCGACCAGTCTGGTACTACAGACCACCCTGACTAGCGACCAGCCTGGTACTACAGACCACCCTGACTAGCGACCAGTCTGGTACTACAGACCACCCTGACTAGCGACCAGCCTGGTACTACAGACCACCGTGACTAGCGACCAGTCTGGTACTACAGACCACCGTGACTAGCGACCAGTCTGGTACTACAGACCACCGTGACTAGCGACCAGTCTGGTACTACAGACCACCGTGACTAGCGACCAGTCTGGTACTACAGACCACCGTGACTAGCGACCAGTCTGGTACTACAGACCACCGTGACTAGCGACCAGTCTGGTACTACAGACCACCGTGACTAGCGACCAGTCTGGTACTACAGACCACCGTGACTAGCGACCAGTCTGCTTCTACAGACCACTGTGACTAGCGACCAGCCTGGTACTACAGACCACCGTGACTAGTGACCAGTCTGGTACTACAGTAAAACCTGTAACTAAAGACCACCGTGACTAGCGACCGGCCTGGTACTACAGACCACTTCGCCAGGCACGGACAGTCTTACATTCATATTATGGTTGTGCGGTGCAAACCTCTAACTAAGGACCACCTGCCACTAAAGACCGCTTTCTCTGGCCCCAAGAGGTGGTCGTTAGTCACAGGTTTTACTGTATTTCAAATGGATATGCTGCGCTACTTTTGAATAGTTTGGTTGGATTTCTTTGACCACGACTGTACTTACAGTGTTCTACTAAAGAAACAAAACACTAGCATTCACTAATAAACCCACCTTGGATACATGTGTGCATTATGCAATAAAAATCAACAAGCAACTCCATCTGCGTAGTCACCACATTCAACCATAGAACAAAATTTAAAGTTCACAGGCATATAGCACGCACGCATGCTCGGGCACGCACACAAACGCACACACGCACACACGCACACACACACACTACACACACACACACACATACACACATGCACACACACACACACACGCGCGCGCACACACACACACACACACACACACACACACACACACACACATATACAAACACATACACAAACACACACACACACACACAAACACACTTATACTTGTACTTGTACTTGTTGCTCACTGCCAAAACTGGTCACATGGGTCTCCCCGTGAGAGGGGAGAGAGACTCAAAAGGAATCTTGGAAAGATGACTCAACTGGCTATTGATTTACAGTCGTTGACAAAGGAATGCAGCCTAGAGAGTGTGTGTGGGCAGGCGTGTGTTTACCGCCATATTGCCAGGTGTGTCTTTACCACCATATTTATCAACCATAAGTACAGCTGCAGTGGTGTCTTCAACGTCATTCGCCCGAAACGAAAAGATATGCTTCTTATCAGCTTGACACAAGAAGACCAACACACACACCTATATAAGGTCCCTTCCTCTGACAGCTACTAATAATTATTGTGACCAAGCAGAATAAAACAGATATCAAAGAACCGCATCACTCCTAGTTACTTACGATTCTTCCTAATTTTGAGATCTGCAAAATTCACCGCAGGCCACAATTTAGCCGATGATCCCAGTCATGGAACACAAAAAGAAGAAGATGAAAGTCATTGGTAAGCAACAAACCTTACAACACTACAATATGTATATACATGTAGGTATGCCTATGACATCGTCGTGGACAAAGAAATCAAACCCGTGAGCCGAAATCAGCGCCAAAGCCCTTACGGCCCCCTATGGTCGTCAGAGAGGTTCTTGGACAGTGCATGATGTACAGTAAAACCTGTAACTAAAGACCACCGTGACTAGCGACCAGCCTGGTACTACAGTAAAACCTGTAACTAAAGACCACCGTGACTAGCGACCAGTCTGGTACTACAGACCACTTCGCCAGGCACGGACAGTCTGACATTCATATTATGGTTGTGCCGTGCAAACCTCTAACCAAGGACCACCTGCCACTAAAGACCGCTTTCTCTGGCCCCAAGAGGTGGTCGTTAGTCACAGGTTTTACTGTAATTGAAATGGATATACATGTACTGCGCTACTTTTGAATAGTTTGGTTGGATTTCTTTGACCACGACTGTACTTACAGTGTTCTACTAAAGAAACCAAACACTAGCATTCACTAATAAACCCACTTTGGATACATGTGTGCATTATGCAATAAAAATCAACAAGCAACTCCATGTGCGTAGTCACCACATTCAACCATAGAACAAAATGTATTGTTCACAGGCATATAGCACGCACGCATGCGCGGGCACGCACACAAACGCACACACGCACACACAAACACTACACACACACACACACATACACACACGCACACACACACACACACACAGACACACACACACGCACACACACACACACACACACACAGACAGACACACACACACACATATTATATATATACAAACACATACACAAACACACACACTTGTACTTGTACTTGTACTTGTTGCTCACTGCGAAAACTGGTCACGTGGGTCTCCCCGTGAGAGGGGAGAGAGACTCAACTGGCTATTGATCTACAGTCGTTGACAATGGAATGCAGCCTAGAGAGCGTGTGTGGGCAGGCGTGCGTTTACCGCCATATTGCCAGGTGTGTCTTTACCACCATATATATCAACCATAAGTACAGCTGCAGTGGTGTATTCAACTTCATTCTCCCGAAACGAAAAAATATGCTTCTTATCAGCTTGACACAAGAAGACCAACACACACACCTATATAAGGTCCCTTCCTCTGACAGCTACTAATTGTGACCAAGCAGAATAAAATAGATATCAAAGAACCGCATCACTTTTAGTTACTTACGAGTTCTATGAATTCTGAGACCTGCAAAATTCACCGCAGTCCACAATTTAGGGGATGATTCCAGTCATGGAACACAAAAAGAAGAAGATGAAAGTCATTGGTAAGCAACAAACCTTACAACACTACAATATGTATATACATGTAGGTATGCCTATGACATCGTCGTGGACAAAGAAATCAAACCCGTGAGCCGAAATCAGCGCCAAAGCCCTTACGGCCCCTATGGTCGTCAGAGAGGTTCTTGGACAGTGCATGATGTACAGTAAAACCTGTAACTAAAGACCACCCTGACTAGCGACCAGCCTGGTACTACAGACCACCGTGACTAGCGACCAGCCTGGTACTACAGTAAAACCTGTAACTAAAGACCACCGTGACTAGCGACCAGCCTGGTACTACAGACCACTTCGCCAGGCCCGGACAGTCTTACATTCATAATAATTATTATTATGGTTGTGTCGTCGGGGTTTTTTATAATCCTCGCACGATAGCCGCCGAGGAATAAAAACCCCCGGCGACAATTGGCGCCCAGCTAGTGGCATCGTTCTCCACGACCCTGAGATCGTTTTTGTTTTCGCCGTGGCTTTAAATCTTGCCTTCTCCACGCGTCCTCGCCATGGCTCCGCTTTGCTCCATCTGCTCAACCCTGACGTCGGAGCTCCTACTCAGGTGAGCCTGTTTTGTCTGCCCTGCGTAATGTTTTGTACCTTGTACGTAGTTCTCCTTGTACTAGTCTTCGATTTGGGATTTTCAAAATAATTGTTTCGCTTCGTGGCATTGAAGTCCCGTGTTGTTCTCTTGTGTACAAGTACCTCGTTCGAGCCTCGCTCCTGTTAGTACATGATTGTGGCCCACGTTGTGTGTGCGGTGTTTTGAACCAGTGTACATTGTCGCCCTCCGGCCTCTAGCTGTTCGAGTGGTCGTGTGCACTGTGTTTTCACACCTTCTCTGTTGTCCGTGCTGTCGTGCATGCTCATCGTGTTGCTTGGTAGTCAGCATGGCCATGGGTAGCTTTGCTCGTGTTTGCTTACTCGCCCTGTGTTGTGCACTGGTGCACATGGTTGCGTTGTGGTCGGATTGCTCCGATCCTGTGTCAATCGATTGGTTTGGTAGATGTCCCCATCCATTTACTCCATGTGGTGACACTCCATCGTTTCCAGTTTCAAGTACAAGTGCTTTCTTTTTCGTTTTACTAGTATTCATGTTTTGTGTCGAGCGTTTTAGTGGTCCGCCGTGTTCATGGTGTTGCCCCACCGATCATGTGGAATGGCTGTCGCCCAGTGGTGTGACATGCTTCCGAGAGTCTCGTTGACGGTCCGGGTGGCAATCTTTCTGTGAGCGTGTTGTTTTGTATTTGTGACGGTTTTGGCACAAGGGTCTCTTCATTCACCTAGGGGGGGGGGGGGGCGTCCGATCATGGTGAGCCACGGTCTGCCTGGTGGGCTGGTGGGATCCAGCGCTTATTTGTATCGGTTCGCCTTGCGGGTGTTCGGTTTCCGTGTTTTGCTGGCTGGCCTTTGTGCGTCCCAGTAGGGTTCAGGACGGTGTTTTTTTTGTGTTTCGTGAGCGGATGTGTTTCACGCGTGATATTCAGGTTCAATCCCTGTGGGTTTTTTCAGGTTCGAGGCCTGTGCGTTTTTCAGGTTAGAGGCCTGTGGTTATTCAGGGTAGCGCCCTGTGGTTTTTCCATGTTAAATTTTGTTTGCGTATTGGTGACCGGTTTGTTTGTGTGCTATCTGGTGTCCTCATGGATAGACTGCCCCTGTATCCGTAGGCGTGTTCAACGTTGCTGTTCTGCCGTTCCTTCTTGTGTTTTTTTGTCTGAATTTTGGCTCCTGGTATTGCTGAGATGTTTGCGTCAATCCGTGTTTCTTTCTTTCTGTGTGTGTCTCTGGGAGTTTTTGTAGCCCCATCGGCTGCGTGATGGTTTTCCGGACAACTCCTGTGCTGTCAGATGATTTGTGCCTTCAGTTGCGCTGAAAAGTGAAAGTACAGGACTTCTGCATAGAAAAGTAATGATCTCCAACATTTTGGCTGCTTTTCGGACGTTTTCCTTTTCGGACCGGTTTTCGGAAGAGCCTTCAAAAATCGGACACTGTCCGAAAAATCGGACGGTTTGGCAGCACTGCACTAGGTATCGTGCTTTACTTCCTTCTTTTATACTACTGTTTTTTCCACACCATGAAGCACTTATTGCCTTTTCCAATGCACGGGTGCACCGGATGACCTTCTTTGTTTGTGCAGTTAGAGCAGAAGAAAGCAGTCTTGCTTCTCTTGCGATCCTGCTTCCAGCAGACAACACAGTTGGCTCTTCCAGACTCACCAGCACAGTCTGGAATGTGTACAGAGTGCACTTGTCTGTAGTCAGCTGCTGGTGCTGGTATAGCACGCTCCAGAGCTGGTGGTACTGAATGCATTGGAAGATTGACGAGTTGACTAACCAGCTGCTCTCGAAACTCATATTGCGAATAGCGCACGGGCCTCTTGATTGCACCTGGATTGGCTTCTCTCCAAGCAGCAAACAGTTTATAGGCATTGATGGTGGCTATCTTGAGGAGCTCATAGAATATCACTTTGTTGAACTTCTTTGATCTGCGGAGAATACGGTAGCTACTAGCCAGTTGATCAAATAATTATATCAACTCCTCCCATGTTTGCGTTGTAATGTTCGATGGCAACCGGCTTGCGACATGTCACGTCCTGTAACTCTCCGTTGACTCTTCTTTTCTTGTTTTCTCTCTGTACTCAGTGGCAGAGTGCATGGTGGACAGCACAGTTACAACTCTTTTGTCCAACCACTGCACATAAACGATGTCGCCGTCACGCTCACAGCGCATGTCTCCCGACGGTCCTTTTTTCTCGAACTGTTTCGTGCTTTTCAGGCGATCAGGAAGTCCACGTCAGTTACTGCGCACTGTTCCGACTAGCTCAGAGGCATTGGCCTTCAGTGCTTGAGCAAGGCTGTGGGACGTATAGTAGTTGGCGGTCAAAAGCTGATAGCCTTGCTTCAGGTACGGAGTCATGAGTCGCATGACGAGGTCGTGCGTAAGGCTATGTTGACTGACATCCATTGCACCACCGGTGTGCATCTCGAAATTGCAGTTGTAGGCTGTGTTGGAGTCGCAGAGTGTGTAAGATTTGAATCCCCATTTGACTGGTTTATTTTTCACATACACCTTCATGCCCTGGCGACCCTTAAATCATATCATTCTCTCATCGTGCGACTCCTGTTGGCCGGGCTGCCAAAACTGCATGGATTTAGCACGGAAGACATCGTGAAGGTAACGGACTTTTTGCAGTCGATCATCCAGGTCGGCCGAATGGGACATTGAAAGAACGCACGGATGGAACGAAATCGCAGACGGGTGGGCATTTCACGTGCCCACAGGCCATCATATAGTGTGCGCGTACTCCAATACTTCTCTACATCAGGTAAGCGTAGTATACCGAAGTAGAGTAGTAGAGCTAAGAAACGGCGTGGTTCGTCAGTGCTGGTTTCCTGCTAACTGCCATCGTCCTGTGCGTATGATGGCTTGGACAGAATGTGCTGCCATGCATACTGATTAGTAAAGTTCACCAGAGAATCCATCACATCTTCGGAGAAAAATAAATTGAACAAAATCTAACTCGTTCTCAGGTTCAACATTTTCAGGTAGATGTAGTCCCTTGGTTCGGGATGGCAAGAACTCAGCAGGTTGGCGAGCTGGATCAGTTCTATCCCACTCAGCCATGTTCACAGCAGCGCCTGCACCTCGTCCACGTCCACGACCACGCGGAGCTCATGTGGCTCCTCTATTTCTTCGTGTTCCACGTGAAGCACCACGTGTGTATGGGTGGAATCTGGCAGCACGTCCTCGTCCTCATCCTCTTGCTGCCGCTGCTCCTTGTCCATGGGCCACACCATAGTCCTCATCGCCATCATCCGTTCCACTGCTTTCCTCCAGAGCACTCGCAGACTCGCCTCGATTGCCATCATCATCTGGTTGAAAAAATTCAAAATTGAAGTCTTCAGATTCAAGTTCAGCTTGCTTGTCCGAGCTATTCCCGCTCTCAGGGCCACTGGAATCAGCAGCAGACTCACTGGAAGAGCAGCTGTCATCTTCAGATGGAAGCGTAAACAATAAATCGACAGCAGACTGCGCGTCCAGGCGCCTGGCCATGATAGCTTCTTCTTCAAATTTTCAGTATTTTGCAAAAAGTGCCAAAGTACGCGCACGATGCGCTTTTATAGCCGTTTCACACTCGCGTCTTTCTGTGACGTCGTTTTCAGCCAAAACGTCGACTTTCTGCACAAGTCGATTCACACACACATCGAACACATCGTTTTGCCAACAATCAGCAACATTTTTAGCAGTCCACGGGCAAAAAAAATAACGGCATGCGAGTATATTCAAAATAAAAAAATCTTGGGCAGTTCTGTAGTTTCCACACCATGTACCAGCCAGCCTTGAGGAAGACCAAACAGTTCTCAGTTTTAGTTTTGTGGTCATCATTATTTCGCTTTTGTAGGTGAAGAATAGACGACAAAAAAGACGAAGACGTGGCCGAAGACTCTGCCCATAGGGCCGCGTCTGCGTTTTGAAGTCTTCAGCTCACGTTTTGGGGATTCCCCGGGATCGCCTAGGCAACGAAGACGAAGACGTGAATAAAGACGTGAGTGTGAAACGCCTATTATGAAGGTGCGCATCCAATCGTGATTTTCTCGAAAAAAAATGATGTGCAGCACACGGTTTTCTCGATGGTAGGTGATTTCTTAGGTTTTCAGCAGTAGTTTGGGATTTTCCCGAGTGCGGTGCGGTAAAAGACCATGATTTACAGAGCGAAAAACGAATGCGTCGAATTCGACGCATTCGCCCTATGTACGGCTGGTAAAGGGTTAAAACACATCTCCAGTGTGCAAACCAACAGGATACAAGAATTGTAAGAAAAATAGCACAAACTTCGGAAAATTGCACTGGTAATAAAAACTGTACAAATGAGAAATGATAGGAAATACAGCAAGTGCAGTGTGAGAATGTACATGCATGTGCAAGGGTGAGTGAGTGCGAATTTACTGGAAGAGTGTAAGCGTGATGACATTTTCTTTTATGTTTACAAAGATTGGGAGCACGAATGCGAATGTAGACTGCTTCTAGAACTTTCAATCCACGATACCACCGGCTATACAATTAACTGTGTTTAGTACATGTAGTGTGTGGCTCATATTTTGCTACATGTTTCTTTCTAAGGAAGTTGGTTGCTCCCCACACCAGAGTTGACACTTTTCCCGCCGACCTGACCTGACACTTGACTGACTCACGACTGCCATCGAGGGCACACAAGAAGTCCATCGAACTTTCCACTCGGCATCGCTCCCTGCTCTATACCTATGGTGTTCATGAGGGGTTTGTCACGCTGGAAATCGAGCGTCTCTGTAAATTTATCATTATTATTATTCAAGCGGTACTGGTTTGGAGGCGGTGAAAAAACAGTTTCGTAATCAGTATTCGCATGCAACGACTCAAATCCACACAATTCAGTAGACACTTCCTTTCTATCAAACGTTTTCTTTCCCTTCTCTTCAGGATACTGTAAAATTGGAAAGTCTAACGAGTCACAAAGTCTAACGTTTTAACGAACAATTATTTTTCGTTAATTGAAAAAAAAACGTTATCTCTAGATGTCTGTGTAAAGATGCACATGCAGATGGGTCGCCAGCTAGCCATCGTTAAACTTTCTGAACGTTATCATGCCAAAAATACAAATACGTTAAACTTTTTGGTCGTTAGACTTTCCGGTTTTACAGTAGTACAGGGAATGTTATAAATTTGAAAAAAAAACAAACACATAACTATATAGATAAAGAAAGAAAAAGTATCTCTATAATTTGAAACTCGGATGTTGAGCCATAAATAAATGTAAAAGAGAAAAGGACATATGGATACGAGTTAAGAGTAACTCTCCATCACTGTAACATGATACTATATACAGTCAGAAAGCGCAATAACTAGGCACAAAACTGACAGAGTACTGAGACATTCGACGTCCTGACACCTAACTTCAACACATCTCCGTAGCGCTAACCGACAGCCTTCCAACTTGGAAGGTTCAAGGTTATGGAAAGACCAAAGAGGGGAAGGCAAGCGCAACGAAAACGAGCAAAAGCCACAGTCCCAACGGAACAAAGAATGTCGATTGTTACTGGACGATGACGAGACCAGTACGATATTTGACAAAGCGGTCTAACTACAATTCGAAGCAGCAAAGCAGCACACCACCCAACTTGGGTGGGTCATAAATATCAAAGATAAGTAAAGAAAGGGAAGCTTTGCGAAAACGAATTGTACAAGCCGAAAGCCAAACTCCTACAGTACTCCTCATGAATGACATTGTGATGGACTAGTTGACTACAAAACAAGTACGGCGATACGGCGAAACGTACCATACGGCGAAACGTACGTCGTGCCGTCCAAGGTTACAAATAGTATTTTCAAAACGAAAAGTTCTCGCTTGGAAGTGGGTGGGTTTGAAGGAGTTTCTTTTTGAAAATAACTATTAAATGCGGATGGAGAATGCTCAATTACTTCTGGGTGCCGAAAATTGACATCAATATTTTATTCGAATTCGTTTTACCTGCAGAAAAGATAGGTGGGTGGGTGGGTGCTGAAAAATACTAAAAAAATTCGTTTTGCAAAAACTATTGGTAACCCCGGACGGCCCCTAAGTGGGTGAGGACAAGGTGCCGAAAAGAATTGACGGCATCAGAGTGTCCGTCCCGGGATCCAACTGCAGTTACCCCTGCCCCTGGTGAAGGCAATGCTTGCTACGAGTGTGGACAGCTAAATCAGAGTGGATCTCACAAATAAAACACGCACACATACATGTTAGCTGCCCTGGCTAAACAGTCCCCAAGACACTCCCAGAGGATAGGTCCAAGTTATAGTTTCATGGCAGGAAGCCTTATTACAGAGTATTTTAGGATAAATACACCTGTTACACCCTCCCACGCACGCATGCACGCACGCACGTACGCACACACACACACACACACACACACACACACACACACACACACACGCACAAACACACACACACACACACACACACACACACACACACACAAAGGAATAAGCAAAAGCGTTCAAAGCTGCAAGTGCCTCGTCATTTCATAATAATTTAACGAAAAGACATGCTTCTTATCAACTGGACACAAGAAGACCAATACACACCCATATCAGGGATGATTTTATCCTGTATCGCATCGCAGTTTGCGATGCAAAATCGATCTACTGCTACTCAAAACTCACCATGACTAGCAGAAAATTGCGATACATAGACTATCCATGCCTAGCCTGCACTGTCAAGTAACATGCATGCGGCGCAGTGTAGGTGGTGCAGGTACTCTCAATCTGCGTGAACGTGTGTATGCTTCAGTCTTTTTTTTGCAAATGGGCTTTCATGCAGCACTCTCAACAAGGACAATGTGGTAAACACTCGACCTTCAAAGAAAAATGCTAATCAAAATCAAAGACTGCTACACAATTGTGATTTCGTATAGCACAAACTGCTATGCGAAAATATGACAGTAAATTCATCCCTGCATATCATATCCCTTCCTCTGGCAGCTACTAATTGTGACAAAGCAGAACAAAACAGATATCAAAGAAGCGCGTCACTCTTAGTTACTTACCCGTGATTCATCCACTGAGGTCTGCAAAATTCACCGCACCCACAATTTAGCCGATGATGCCAGTCATAGAGCACAAGGAAGAATATGAAAGTCATTGGTAAGCAGAAAACCTTACAACAGCATAATATGCATGCACATGTAGATATGCTTCTGATTTACAGTCGTTGACAAAGGAATGCAGCCTAGAGAGCGTGTGTGCGCAGACGTGTGTGTACCGCCATATTGCCAGGTGTGTCTTTACCACCATACGTATAAACCATAAGTACAGCTGCAGTGGATTCTTCAACCTCATTCTCCCGAAACGAAAAGATATGCTTCTTATCAGCTTGACACAAGAAGACTAACACACACCTGTATAAGGTCCCTTCCTCTGACAGCTACTAATTGTGAACAAGCAGAACAAAACAGATATCCAAAAACGCATCACTTCTCGTTACTTACGAGTTCCTTTATTCTTGAGCCCTGCAAAATTCACCGCAGGCCACAATTTAGCCGATGATCCCAGTCATGGAACACAAAAAGAAGAGGATGAAAGTCATTGGTAAGCAACAAACCTTACAACACTACAACATGTATATACATGTAGGTATGCCTATGACATCGTCGTGGACAAAGAAATCAAACCCGTGAGCCGAAATCAGCGCCAAAGCCCTTACGGCCCCTATGGTCGTCAGAGAGGTTCTTGGACAGTGCATGATATACAGTAAAACCTGTAACTAAAGACCACCCTGACTAGCGACCAGTCTGGTACTACAGACCACCCTGACTAGCGACCAGTCTGGTACTACAGACCACCCTGACTAGCGACCAGCCTGGTACTACAGACCACCCTGACTAGCGACCAGTCTGGTACTACAGACCACCCTGACTAGCGACCAGCCTGGTACTACAGACCACCGTGACTAGCGACCAGTCTGGTACTACAGACCACCGTGACTAGCGACCAGTCTGGTACTACAGACCACCGTGACTAGCGACCAGTCTGGTACTACAGACCACCGTGACTAGCGACCAGTCTGGTACTACAGACCACCGTGACTAGCGACCAGTCTGGTACTACAGACCACCGTGACTAGCGACCAGTCTGGTACTACAGACCACCGTGACTAGCGACCAGTCTGGTACTACAGACCACCGTGACTAGCGACCAGTCTGCTTCTACAGACCACTGTGACTAGCGACCAGCCTGGTACTACAGACCACCGTGACTAGTGACCAGTCTGGTACTACAGTAAAACCTGTAACTAAAGACCACCGTGACTAGCGACCGGCCTGGTACTACAGACCACTTCGCCAGGCACGGACAGTCTTACATTCATATTATGGTTGTGCGGTGCAAACCTCTAACTAAGGACCACCTGCCACTAAAGACCGCTTTCTCTGGCCCCAAGAGGTGGTCGTTAGTCACAGGTTTTACTGTATTTCAAATGGATATGCTGCGCTACTTTTGAACAGTTTGGTTGGATTTCTTTGGCCACGACTGTACTTACAGTGTTCTACTAAAGAAACTAAACACTAGCATTCACTAATAAACCCACCTTGGATACATGTCTGCATTATGCAATAAAAATCAACAAGCAACTCCATCTGCGTAGTCACCACATTCAACCATAGAACAAAATTTAAAGTTCACAGGCATATAGCACGCACGCATGCTCGGGCACGCACACAAACGCACACACGCACACACGCACACACACACACTACACACACACACACACATACACACATGCACACACACACACACGCGCGCGCACACACACACACACACACACACACACACACACACACACACACACACACACACACACACACACATATACAAACACATACACAAACACACACACACACACACAAACACACTTATACTTGTACTTGTACTTGTTGCTCACTGCCAAAACTGGTCACATGGGTCTCCCCGTGAGAGGGGAGAGAGACTCAAAAGGAATCTTGGAAAGATGACTCAACTGGCTATTGATTTACAGTCGTTGACAAAGGAATGCAGCCTAGAGAGTGTGTGTGGGCAGGCGTGTGTTTACCGCCATATTGCCAGGTGTGTCTTTACCACCATATTTATCAACCATAAGTACAGCTGCAGTGGTGTCTTCAACGTCATTCGCCCGAAACGAAAAGATATTCTTCTTATCAGCTTGACACAAGAAGACCAACACACACACCTATATAAGGTCCCTTCCTCTGACAGCTACTAATAATTATTGTGACCAAGCAGAATAAAACAGATATCAAAGAACCGCATCACTCCTAGTTACTTACGATTCTTCCTAATTTTGAGATCTGCAAAATTCACCGCAGGCCACAATTTAGCCGATGATCCCAGTCATGGAACACAAAAAGAAGAAGATGAAAGTCATTGGTAAGCAACAAACCTTACAACACTACAATATGTATATACATGTAGGTATGCCTATGACATCGTCGTGGACAAAGAAATCAAACCCGTGAGCCGAAATCAGCGCCAAAGCCCTTACGGCCCCCTATGGTCGTCAGAGAGGTTCTTGGACAGTGCATGATGTACAGTAAAACCTGTAACTAAAGACCACCGTGACTAGCGACCAGCCTGGTACTACAGTAAAACCTGTAACTAAAGACCACCGTGACTAGCGACCAGTCTGGTACTACAGTAAAACCTGTAACTAAAGACCACCGTGACTAGCGACCAGTCTGGTACTACAGACCACTTCGCCAGGCACGGACAGTCTGACATTCATATTATGGTTGTGCCGTGCAAACCTCTAACCAAGGACCACCTGCCACTAAAGACCGCTTTCTCTGGCCCCAAGAGGTGGTCGTTAGTCACAGGTTTTACTGTAATTGAAATGGATATACATGTACTGCGCTACTTTTGAATAGTTTGGTTGGATTTCTTTGACCACGACTGTACTTACAGTGTTCTACTAAAGAAACCAAACACTAGCATTCACTAATAAACCCACCTTGGATACATGTGTGCATTATGCAATAAAAATCAACAAGCAACTCCATGTGCGTAGTCACCACATTCAACCATAGAACAAAATGTATTGTTCACAGGCATATAGCACGCACGCATGCGCGGGCACGCACACAAACGCACACACGCACACACAAACACTACACACACACACACACACACATACACACACGCACACACACACACACACACAGACACACACACACGCACACACACACACACAGACAGACACACACACACACATATTATATATATACAAACACATACACAAACACACACACTTGTACTTGTACTTGTACTTGTTGCTCACTGCGAAAACTGGTCACGTGGGTCTCCCCGTGAGAGGGGAGAGAGACTCAACTGGCTATTGATCTACAGTCGTTGACAATGGAATGCAGCCTAGAGAGCGTGTGTGGGCAGGCGTGCGTTTACCGCCATATTGCCAGGTGTGTCTTTACCACCATATATATCAACCATAAGTACAGCTGCAGTGGTGTATTCAACTTCATTCTCCCGAAACGAAAAAATATGCTTCTTATCAGCTTGACACAAGAAGACCAACACACACACCTATATAAGGTCCCTTCCTCTGACAGCTACTAATTGTGACCAAGCAGAATAAAATAGATATCAAAGAACCGCATCACTTTTAGTTACTTACGAGTTCTATGAATTCTGAGACCTGCAAAATTCACCGCAGTCCACAATTTAGGGGATGATTCCAGTCATGGAACACAAAAAGAAGAAGATGAAAGTCATTGGTAAGCAACAAACCTTACAACACTACAATATGTATATACATGTAGGTATGCCTATGACATCGTCGTGGACAAAGAAATCAAACCCGTGAGCCGAAATCAGCGCCAAAGCCCTTACGGCCCCTATGGTCGTCAGAGAGGTTCTTGGACAGTGCATGATGTACAGTAAAACCTGTAACTAAAGACCACCCTGACTAGCGACCAGCCTGGTACTACAGACCACCGTGACTAGCGACCAGCCTGGTACTACAGTAAAACCTGTAACTAAAGACCACCGTGACTAGCGACCAGCCTGGTACTACAGACCACTTCGCCAGGCCCGGACAGTCTTACATTCATAATAATTATTATTATGGTTGTGTCGTCGGGGTTTTTTATAATCCTCGCACGATAGCCGCCGAGGAATAAAAAACCCCGGCGACAATTGGCGCCCAGCTAGTGGCATCGTTCTCCACGACCCTGAGATCGTTTTTGTTTTCGCCGTGGCTTTAAATCTTGCCTTCTCCACGCGTCCTCGCCATGGCTCCGCTTTGCTCCATCTGCTCAACCCTGACGTCGGAGCTCCTACTCAGGTGAGCCTGTTTTGTCTGCCCTGCGTAATGTTTTGTACCTTGTACGTAGTTCTCCTTGTACTAGTCTTCGATTTGGGATTTTCAAAATAATTGTTTCGCTTCGTGGCATTGAAGTCCCGTGTTGTTCTCTTGTGTACAAGTACCTCGTTCGAGCCTCGCTCCTGTTAGTACATGATTGTGGCCCACGTTGTGTGTGCGGTGTTTTGAACCAGTGTACATTGTCGCCCTCCGGCCTCTAGCTGTTCGAGTGGTCGTGTGCACTGTGTTTTCACACCTTCTCTGTTGTCCGTGCTGTCGTGCATGCTCATCGTGTTGCTTGGTAGTCAGCATGGCCATGGGTAGCTTTGCTCGTGTTTGCTTACTCGCCCTGTGTTGTGCACTGGTGCACATGGTTGCGTTGTGGTCGGATTGCTCCGATCCTGTGTCAATCGATTGGTTTGGTAGATGTCCCCATCCATTTACTCCATGTGGTGACACTCCATCGTTTCCAGTTTCAAGTACAAGTGCTTTCTTTTTCGTTTTACTAGTATTCATGTTTTGTGTCGAGCGTTTTAGTGGTCCGCCGTGTTCATGGTGTTGCCCCACCGATCATGTGGAATGGCTGTCGCCCAGTGGTGTGACATGCTTCCGAGAGTCTCGTTGACGGTCCGGGTGGCAATCTTTCTGTGAGCGTGTTGTTTTGTATTTGTGACGGTTTTGGCACAAGGGTCTCTTCATTCACCTAGGGGGGGGGGGGGGCGTCCGATCATGGTGAGCCACGGTCTGCCTGGTGGGCTGGTGGGATCCAGCGCTTATTTGTATCGGTTCGCCTTGCGGGTGTTCGGTTTCCGTGTTTTGCTGGCTGGCCTTTGTGCGTCCCAGTAGGGTTCAGGACGGTGTTTTTTTTGTGTTTCGTGAGCGGATGTGTTTCACGCGTGATATTCAGGTTCAATCCCTGTGGGTTTTTTCAGGTTCGAGGCCTGTGCGTTTTTCAGGTTAGAGGCCTGTGGTTATTCAGGGTAGCGCCCTGTGGTTTTTCCATGTTAAATTTTGTTTGCGTATTGGTGACCGGTTTGTTTGTGTGCTATCTGGTGTCCTCATGGATAGACTGCCCCTGTATCCGTAGGCGTGTTCAACGTTGCTGTTCTGCCGTTCCTTCTTGTGTTTTTTTGTCTGAATTTTGGCTCCTGGTATTGCTGAGATGTTTGCGTCAGTCCGTGTTTCTTTCTTTCTGTGTGTGTCTCTGGGAGTTTTCGTAGCCCCATCGGCTGCGTGATGGTTTTCCGGACAACTCCTGTGCTGTCAGATGATTTGTGCCTTCAGTTGCGCTGAAAAGTGAAAGTACAGGACTTCTGCATAGAAAAGTAATGATCTCCAACATTTTGGCTGCTTTTCGGACGTTTTCCTTTTCGGACCGGTTTTCGGAAGAGCCTTCAAAAATCGGACACTGTCCGAAAAATCGGACGGTTTGGCAGCACTGCACTAGGTATCGTGCTTTACTTCCTTCTTTTATACTACTGTTTTTTCCACACCATGAAGCACTTATTGCCTTTTCCAATGCACGGGTGCACCGGATGACCTTCTTTGTTTGTGCAGTTAGAGCAGAAGAAAGCAGTCTTGCTTCTCTTGCGATCCTGCTTCCAGCAGACAACACAGTTGGCTCTTCCAGACTCACCAGCACAGTCTGGAATGTGTACAGAGTGCACTTGTCTGTAGTCAGCTGCTGGTGCTGGTATAGCACGCTCCAGAGCTGGTGGTACTGAATGCATTGGAAGATTGACGAGTTGACTAACCAGCTGCTCTCGAAACTCATATTGCGAATAGCGCACGGGCCTCTTGATTGCACCTGGATTGGCTTCTCTCCAAGCAGCAAACAGTTTATAGGCATTGATGGTGGCTATCTTGAGGAGCTCATAGAATATCACTTTGTTGAACTTCTTTGATCTGCGGAGAATACGGTAGCTACTAGCCAGTTGATCAAATAATTATATCAACTCCTCCCATGTTTGCGTTGTAATGTTCGATGGCAACCGGCTTGCGACATGTCACGTCCTGTAACTCTCCGTTGACTCTTCTTTTCTTGTTTTCTCTCTGTACTCAGTGGCAGAGTGCATGGTGGACAGCACAGTTACAACTCTTTTGTCCAACCACTGCACATAAACGATGTCGCCGTCACGCTCACAGCGCATGTCTCCCGACGGTCCTTTTTTCTCGAACTGTTTCGTGCTTTTCAGGCGATCAGGAAGTCCACGTCAGTTACTGCGCACTGTTCCGACTAGCTCAGAGGCATTGGCCTTCAGTGCTTGAGCAAGGCTGTGGGACGTATAGTAGTTGGCGGTCAAAAGCTGATAGCCTTGCTTCAGGTACGGAGTCATGAGTCGCATGACGAGGTCGTGCGTAAGGCTATGTTGACTGACATCCATTGCACCACCGGTGTGCATCTCGAAATTGCAGTTGTAGGCTGTGTTGGAGTCGCAGAGTGTGTAAGATTTGAATCCCCATTTGACTGGTTTATTTTTCACATACACCTTCATGCCCTGGCGACCCTTAAATCATATCATTCTCTCATCGTGCGACTCCTGTTGGCCGGGCTGCCAAAACTGCATGGATTTAGCACGGAAGACATCGTGAAGGTAACGGACTTTTTGCAGTCGATCATCCAGGTCGGCCGAATGGGACATTGAAAGAACGCACGGATGGAACGAAATCGCAGACGGGTGGGCATTTCACGTGCCCACAGGCCATCATATAGTGTGCGCGTACTCCAATACTTCTCTACATCAGGTAAGCGTAGTATACCGAAGTAGAGTAGTAGAGCTAAGAAACGGCGTGGTTCGTCAGTGCTGGTTTCCTGCTAACTGCCATCGTCCTGTGCGTATGATGGCTTGGACAGAATGTGCTGCCATGCATACTGATTAGTAAAGTTCACCAGAGAATCCATCACATCTTCGGAGAAAAATAAATTGAACAAAATCTAACTCGTTCTCAGGTTCAACATTTTCAGGTAGATGTAGTCCCTTGGTTCGGGATGGCAAGAACTCAGCAGGTTGGCGAGCTGGATCAGTTCTATCCCACTCAGCCATGTTCACAGCAGCGCCTGCACCTCGTCCACGTCCACGACCACGCGGAGCTCATGTGGCTCCTCTATTTCTTCGTGTTCCACGTGAAGCACCACGTGTGTATGGGTGGAATCTGGCAGCACGTCCTCGTCCTCATCCTCTTGCTGCCGCTGCTCCTTGTCCATGGGCCACACCATAGTCCTCATCGCCATCATCCGTTCCACTGCTTTCCTCCAGAGCACTCGCAGACTCGCCTCGATTGCCATCATCATCTGGTTGAAAAAATTCAAAATTGAAGTCTTCAGATTCAAGTTCAGCTTGCTTGTCCGAGCTATTCCCGCTCTCAGGGCCACTGGAATCAGCAGCAGACTCACTGGAAGAGCAGCTGTCATCTTCAGATGGAAGCGTAAACAATAAATCGACAGCAGACTGCGCGTCCAGGCGCCTGGCCATGATAGCTTCTTCTTCAAATTTTCAGTATTTTGCAAAAAGTGCCAAAGTACGCGCACGATGCGCTTTTATAGCCGTTTCACACTCGCGTCTTTCTGTGACGTCGTTTTCAGCCAAAACGTCGACTTTCTGCACAAGTCGATTCACACACACATCGAACACATCGTTTTGCCAACAATCAGCAACATTTTTAGCAGTCCACGGGCAAAAAAAATAACGGCATGCGAGTATATTCAAAATAAAAAAATCTTGGGCAGTTCTGTAGTTTCCACACCATGTACCAGCCAGCCTTGAGGAAGACCAAACAGTTCTCAGTTTTAGTTTTGTGGTCATCATTATTTCGCTTTTGTAGGTGAAGAATAGACGACAAAAAAGACGAAGACGTGGCCGAAGACTCTGCCCATAGGGCCGCGTCTGCGTTTTGAAGTCTTCAGCTCACGTTTTGGGGATTCCCCGGGATCGCCTAGGCAACGAAGACGAAGACGCGAATAAAGACGTGAGTGTGAAACGCCTATTATGAAGGTGCGCATCCAATCGTGATTTTCTCGAAAAAAAATGATGTGCAGCACACGGTTTTCTCGATGGTAGGTGATTTCTTAGGTTTTCAGCAGTAGTTTGGGATTTTCCCGAGCGCGGTGCGGTAAAAGACCATGATTTACAGAGCGAAAAACGAATGCGTCGAATTCGACGCATTCGCCCTATGTACGGCTGGTAAAGGGTTAAAACACATCTCCAGTGTGCAAACCAACAGGATACAAGAATTGTAAGAAAAATAGCACAAACTTCGGAAAATTGCACTGGTAATAAAAACTGTACAAATGAGAAATGATAGGAAATACAGCAAGTGCAGTGTGAGAATGTACATGCATGTGCAAGGGTGAGTGAGTGCGAATTTACTGGAAGAGTGTAAGCGTGATGACATTTTCTTTTATGTTTACAAAGATTGGGAGCACGAATGCGAATGTAGACTGCTTCTAGAACTTTCAATCCACGATACCACCGGCTATACAATTAACTGTGTTTAGTACATGTAGTGTGTGGCTCATATTTTGCTACATGTTTCTTTCTAAGGAAGTTGGTTGCTCCCCACACCAGAGTTGACACTTTTCCCGCCGACCTGACCTGACACTTGACTGACTCACGACTGCCATCGAGGGCACACAAGAAGTCCATCGAACTTTCCACTCGGCATCGCTCCCTGCTCTATACCTATGGTGTTCATGAGGGGTTTGTCACGCTGGAAATGGAGCGTCTCTGTAAATTTATCATTATTATTATTCAAGCGGTACTGGTTTGGAGGCGGTGAAAAAACAGTTTCGTAATCAGTATTCGCATGCAACGACTCAAATCCACACAATTCAGTAGACACTTCCTTTCTATCAAATGTTTTCTTTCCCTTCTCTTCAGGATACTGTAAAATTGGAAAGTCTAACGAGTCACAAAGTCTAACGTTTTAACGAACAATTATTTTTCGTTAATTGAAAAAAAAACGTTATCTCTAGATGTCTGTGTAAAGATGCACATGCAGATGGGTCGCCAGCTAGCCATCGTTAAACTTTCTGAACGTTATCATGCCAAAAATACAAATACGTTAAACTTTTTGGTCGTTAGACTTTCCGGTTTTACAGTAGTACAGGGAATGTTATAAATTTGAAAAAAAACAAACACATAACTATATAGATAAAGAAAGAAAAAGTATCTCTATAATTTGAAACTCGGATGTTGAGCCATAAATAAATGTAAAAGAGAAAAGGACATATGGATACGAGTTAAGAGTAACTCTCCATCACTGTAACATGATACTATATACAGTCAGAAAGTGCAATAACTAGGCACAAAACTGACAGAGTACTGAGACATTCGACGTCCTGACACCTAACTTCAACACATCTCCGTAGCGCTAACCGACAGCCTTCCAACTTGGAAGGTTCAAGGTTATGGAAAGACCAAAGAGGGGAAGGCAAGCGCAACGAAAACGAGCAAAAGCCACAGTCCCAACGGAACAAAGAATGTCGATTGTTACTGGACGATGACGAGACCAGTACGATATTTGACAAAGCGGTCTAACTACAATTCGAAGCAGCAAAGCAGCACACCACCCAACTTGGGTGGGTCATAAATATCAAAGATAAGTAAAGAAAGGGAAGCTTTGCGAAAACGAATTGTACAAGCCGAAAGCCAAACTCCTACAGTACTCCTCATGCATGACATTGTGATGGACTAGTTGACTACAAAACAAGTACGGCGATACGGCGAAACGTACCATACGGCGAAACGTACGTCGTGTGAAACAACTTGTTTTGTAGTCAACTAGTCCATCACAATGTCATGCATGAGGAGTACTGTAGGAGTTTGGCTTTCGGCTTGTACAATTCGTTTTCGCAAAGCTTCCCTTTCTTTACTTATCTTTGATATTTATGACCCACCCAAGTTGGGTGGTGTGCTGCTTTGCTGCTTCGAATTGTAGTTAGACCGCTTTGTCAAATATCGTACTGGTCTCGTCATCGTCCAGTAACAATCGACATTCTTTGTTCCGTTGGGACTGTGGCTTTTGCTCGTTTTCGTTGCGCTTGCCTTCCCCTCTTTGGTCTTTCCATAACCTTGAACCTTCCAAGTTGGAAGGCTGTCGGTTAGCGCTACGGAGATGTGTTGAAGTTAGGTGTCAGGACGTCGAATGTCTCAGTACTTTGTCAGTTTTGTGCCTAGTTATTGCACTTTCTGACTGTATATAGTATCATGTTACAGTGATGGAGAGTTACTCTTAACTCGTATCCATATGTCCTTTTCTCTTTTATATCTCTATAATACATGTAGTTATGTGTTTTTTCAAATTTAAAACATTCCCTGTACTATCCTGAAGAGAAGGGAAAGAAAACATTTGATAGAAAGGAAGTGTCTACTGAATTGTGTGGATTTGCGTTGTTGCATGCGAATACTGATCATTATTATTAGAGAGATGCAATTAATAATGGTGATTCTATGAGGCTATGAGGTAACATCAGTTGAAAATATGGTAATACTGATAGTTCAAGAGTTGATCGCTAGATAAGGAGTGTACAGAATAGGAATCAGCACATTCGACCTAGTTGGGGCTGCACTGGAGATTAGAGCAAGAGCATATATGGTAGATTCGATGAGAGCAGAGAGTTGCTTCTTAAATAAGGAAGGGTTCTGAATGGATCTTATATCTCGGGGTAGACTATTGAACAGATTCATTGAGCAAAGAAGTGGAGAGGAGGAATAGCGAGTGGTGCCAGCAACGGGCAGTGAAAAAAGCTCTGAGGTGCCTCAACTCTCTGGTACTGTGTATGGGGAAGTGCGCAGTGGTTGTTTGTATATGAGGTGGGGCGTAATATTGGTGCATGGAATGAGCTAGTACGAGCTGTTTCACTTGTTTTCATGATTTCAGTGCTGGCAGACTGACATGATGCAACAGGGAGGAGTGGTGGCATGGCTTGAAGATTGGGAGACGGAGGCATAGTTTTATTACAGGGCATCCGACTGATGAAACGTAAGTGCGGAGAGAGCAAGGCTTCCATATTCCAGGATGGAGTGGTTGTATACAGTGTATATAAGCAGCAGTGCTTTGGGGTTTAGATTGCCCCTTTTTCTAGACAGGAGGTGAGTTACTTTGGGGGCCTTGGTTTGAACGTACTCGATATGTTGATCCCATTGCATGCTGTGCCGTATGATGATGACGAGCTGTCGGTGTTCTGTGACTTGGTGCAGGTTAGTGCCAAGCAGTTTGACGTTCAGAGGCCTGTAGCTGCCAAACGCGATGACGACGGTTTTAGTTGGATTAACAAGTAAGTGGCACTTGGAGAGCCAGTTTCCAGCTCGACTCACGGCGACCTGGAGGTGAGCTTCAGACTCAACGGATGACGGGTGTGAGGCAACAACAGTGGTGTCGTCAGCAAAAAGGCTGCATCTCGAGTTCGGAGTTGCGCATGCTGATGGCAGGTCAATTGTGTAGGCTAGAAATAGCAAGGGCCCGAGGACTGAACCGTGCGGTACTCCCCCCGGAATTGAAAGCCAGGGTGAGGTGGCATTAGTGAGGTTCTGCCACACGGTAAAACGTGCCAAAGTACGTATGGAAACTTCGCCGCGGTACGGGATTTAGTTTGATACGGATTTTTTCATACCGTTTTCCGTGTGAGGCGCGCTTCACACGGACTGGACTCCGTGTGAAAAGTGAGCGTACAGAGTCCATGTGGCGGGGTGTTCGTGCATGCTTCGAGCATGCTACGTACAGCAGAACCGGTGCAACGTACGAAAAATCCGTGTCAAACTGCACTGCAGTTGACACGGAGTTTGGTACGTAGTTCCGTGTAGCAGAACCTCTCTGTTGCCGATACGAACATGCTGCCAGCGATCAGTAAGGTAGTTGGTGTGCTACTGGAGAGCCTGGCCTCTCCCACCATAGTGCTCCAGTTTCTTTAGTAAGCCGGGATGCCACATGCGATCGAAGGCTTTCGAAAGATCGAAAAAGCAAGCATAGACGTGTTGATGGTTGTCAAGGTCGCGCGTGATGTCGTGCACAAGTCGTCCGAGTTGAAGTTCGGTACCATCCTTCTGTCTGAAACCAGACTGTTCTGCAGGCAGAAATTTGTCGAGATGTTTGTATGGACACTATCTGCACCACAAGTATTCTGTGCAAGATATACCAAATTTTGCAAGTAGCTTCTGCTGTTCCTGTTAGTATTATTTTTATTTTTTCACCATGTCATGTCCCTTCTTCCCTCTCTCATGAGAGCCACCTTCACTTCCTTTCCCCAGGAGACTCCCTTTCATAGGCATCCGTTTGCCCCTGGAGAATCCTTGAAAATATAATTTCAATAGAACAGTCACATGGGATACGCATAGTGATGCCCTCGCACTCGCGCAGTACCGGCTCTGATACTTCCCTCGTGCCCGGGACAAACAAGCACACAAATGTGAAGGCATTGTCAATTGCGCACTTACCAAGCCAATGGAAAGCACGCCTATGATGGGGTATCCTGGGCCTTGGTCACTAGGCTGAAATGGGTTGTAGCTAGCTGCAGTGCTGCCTTCACCTGCACGTCGCCTGTTCTCATCGTCCGGCTGCTCTGAGTGGTCCTGGTTGGAAGTGATATCATCCAGGGATGATTTCGTTCTAGAAACCGGCAGGTAACAGTACTCCAAATTGCTTGTAGTGCAGAGGGATTGAGAACACACAACCAGAATGGACTGGCTTGCAGTGGAGGAAGTGGATTGGGTAGAATCCTCCAGTCGGCTTGCGTTCTGCAAGGTTGACTCCTCCTTTGCATCATCCCTTTTGCTGACCGCAACTGTGCAATCTTCCTCATTGATCAGTGCTTGGAAGAGGTGTGTGATCTGCTCAACCGTGCCAAGCACTTTGTAGTTGTCTGGAATGCAGTGCTGCGTTAGCTCCTGGACAGGGTGCAAGAGAGTAAAAAAAGTTGCCAGAAACAGATAATAATTATGAGAATATGAACAGACGTGTACTGTAAATACTGGGTGTTCTCCAAATACAACCTTGCAACCACTTAAAACAGTTACTTAGACCGGGTCTCATTTTCCTTATATGAACGAATCCTTCCATTTTCAAGACAGACTTTACTGCTAGTTATAGCCAATAAAATAATAGCAGTTCTCATGAATATCCGCCTCGCCGTTATCCAACCGTGACAAGCCAATTTCACAGAGTGGAGTACACCATTAAGTGGACTCGGTACTTGGACAAACACACAGAAATGACACGACAAAGGCCTGGAAATGGGGGTGCGATGTATAACAGAATACAACTTATAATTGGGGAAATGCGGTACATTAGGGGCCGTCCGTAAATATTGATGTTTTTTTAGAGACGATATTGGTGCGTCTGGGGGGGGGGGTTTGAGCCATGTGCGTCTTTTCGAGCATCAGAAAAATATCGATGTAAATATCTGAAGTTTCGCCGATCCCTGCACGCGGACGTCTAAATGGCTATACAAGAAATGTGAAACCAGCTTCCGTTCGCGGAGCTAAAACTCGCGACACAAGAACAAAATCAAAAATTGGAAGCTGTACGCCCATGGCGAATTTCAAGAGCAAAAGAATGAGCTATTGATTGTGGAAATCGGCCGAACGATGCCTGCAGGAGACCTTTTTCAAGACGTACATAGGCCTTGACGGATTATGCTAGCATAATTTTTCGCATAATTCCTACCAAAATCGAATAATCGCATAATTCGAGGCAAATTGCATACGAATCGCATAAGTATATGTTATCGCATGGTTGCAATTAGCCCAAATGCAAACACATTATGACCACAATGTATATTGATGTGCTATCATTATCAAAAACAGGAAAAATGAAGATATTTCTCCTACACCCTAACAAAAAGTCTGCTACAGGCCATCAGAGAGTATACAGTACTGAAAGACGGAGACAGAAAAAAAAGTGCCGGCACCGCATCGTCATAGCAATAGACATGGCAACGACAATAAAATACAGCAGAATCATAATTTCAGTTGAAAAATTAAGAGTGCTACCACAAAGAGTTTCTTCATGTTTACATGTGTATCAGGAAGTTGTCAAATACAGTACTGCAACAAGTGCAAGTATTTGACGACTCCCTGGTGTGTAATTCTGAGGACAATTTTTCTTCTTTTTTCAGCTCCAGATAGCTGTATTTTTCATTGCAAAACATTCCTGAATTGTTGTGTTTGTTGTTCAAGCAAAGGTGAAGGCAGAGGACAGATGAGCCTGGTAAGAGTTTTGCGTGGCACATGAAGACCACACACAGGCAGTGACTTTGCGAGGATATGAAAACGCACGACGCTGAGTTGAATTTGTGTTATTTCAAATAATTGTTTGTGATCACAGTACCACTTCGAGCAGAACTGAATCTTATCCACAAGCTTACCGACGGTCAGGCTGCCAACATGACTGAACAAATGATCCCTGCAAGCACCACGCGGCAGACGTCCGAGGCCATGTCCATTGCCGGGATATGGATGTCCATCTCCAAAAAGAATTCCATCTTCGTCTCAATGCTACACTGCGACTCGTCGTAGAGTCGTACAGTCTACAGAGTAGTCACGCGATCACTGAAATAAACTATTTTTTTGCGGGCAAATAAACTATTTTTTTGCGGGCAATATCGCATATTATTGCCCGCGGCGCGAAAGGTGCTGATTCGCTGGAGTACGGGCAACAATCACGTGCCATGTGATAAATTGGAATAATCCGCCTGTTCGCATCAAATTCCATACAGTTGTACATGTTCTACAAGTACAAGTACAAGTAGATGCACCAGGAAGTCGTAGGTTTACGACTCCCTTGATAACATGTCCAGTCCACTACAATCAGTGACGGTCGTAGCTACAATTGTAGTTTGGACGGCGCGTTGACCCCGTTGAACTTTTGCTACTACAGTTAGGCCTTGACAGATTATGCTAATATTTTCGTGAAATTATGCTTTTCGCATTGCTGAAAAATTGCAGAATTAGGCCAAACTAAAGAAGGTGTGTGGTTCGACTCACCCGACCGACCGTACAATTTCAGCCCGACCGTAACTTTTTTTCGGCGGGCTGTCGTGTGACTGACGTACGTGGACTGAACACGTCCACGTCTACGTGCTGTGCGGCGTGAGTCTGCGACTCTGCGGACGCAGGCGCCTCCTTTTGGACTTGACTTGTAGGTGTACTGCAGTGCAGTGCAGTGAGTGGTACGACTGCTGCCTTGTGCTGGTAGTAGAGTCTACTCGATACGCGTATACCAGGTATACAGTGTATTTACATGTACTAAAAAAATATATTAAAAAAAAAAAAATCCGCCCGCCCGCCCGTAAAAAAAATGTCCATGTTAGTCGAACCACACACCTTCTTTAGTTTGGCCTTATGCTATTTTTATGCTAAAAGTTATCATATTAGCATTATGCTCACACACATGTATGCTGCTAATGCATAATGGTTCTGTGCAAAATAAGAAGAGAATTGTTTTGTAGAGGGCGTTGTACTGTAGTAGCACAAGTGACAACGGGGTCAACGCACCGTCCCACCTAGCTACGACCATCACTGATTGTAGTGGACTGGACATGTTATCAAGGGAGTCGTAAACCTACGACTTCCTGGTGCATCTACTTGTACTTGTACAGCATGTACAACTGTATGGAATTTGATGCGAACAGGCGGATTATTACAATTTTATGCGACTCGTATGCAATTTGCCTCGAATTCTGCGATTATTCGATTTTGGTAGGAATTATGCGAAAAATTATGCTAGCATAATCCGTCAAGGCCTAACTACAGTACAACGCCCTAGGCCTCGACCAAATATGCTTGCGCATATTTCCGCATATTTTGTGAGACAGTTCATGTATGGCATATTGAGCGACAAAGGGAATATTGGAATGGAGCCAGCATATAATTCAAATATTCTGAAGAAAATGAGGACAAAACGTTTATATTATGGACAGAATTCGTTCAGAAATGCCTTTATGGATGAATTTGGAATGGTTGAGGCGTTTGCTACATTTCCCCATGGATGAACACTATCGCTACGGTTGCTGGGGACACACCCCAGCCATACGGCAAGTGTTTTGATTTGCACCATAAGCATGATAGCCGGGTTGTAATTTTACTGAAATGATCTACACTTTCTGTTTATGTCGAGCATATTTTGGCATATTTTGGCATATCTTTTTGCATATCTTGCTAAGCCTTTGGCATATTATGGACGTTTTATCTGATATGCGACGAGCATAATATCAGTGTCTGCTCCAGCGCCGGGTGAGCCGGGTAATCCACCCGGTTGGGCGGCGCTTGGACCCGGTTGAAAATATAGTACCGGGTCACCTGTGACCCGGTTGGTACTTTACACTTTCGAACTTTGAAAGGACTGACTACATGGCTTGTATATGTCAAATACTTCTTCTTTCGTAATTTTCTAATTCCTGTCCTCTCTTTTCTAAATGAGACAGCGCCAGGTACATGTACATGTACATGTATACCCGGCTCCGACCCGGTTGAAATGGTTGCGCCAGGTACACGTGTACCTGGCTGTCCTACAATCCTAGAGCAGACACTGAATATGCTCTTTTTTTTAGCATATTTGGTCGAGACCTACAACGCCCTATACAAAAAATCCCCCTGTTATTTTGCACAGAACCATCATATACATTAGCAGCATAATGTGAGCATAATGCGGCATAATATGATAACTTTTAGCATAAAAATAGCATAATTCTGCCATTTTTTCAGCAATGCGGAAAGCATAATTTCACGAAAATATTAGCATAATCCGTCAAGGCCTAGACGTAGAGGCAGTGCGAACAAACACGGACGAACTCCACAAGAGTTTCCAAAAATATTGATTCCATGAGCTAGATGTACATGTGCGTCTCTGGGGGAGGGGGTCAAGGGAGAGAAGCACCAATATCGTCTCTAAAAAAACATCGATATTTACGGACGGCCCCTTACCAAAATAGTGGTAGCGACCTAGGCAAAATTTTTATAAGGAAGTTTGGTTTCTCCCACACTGGAGCTCGCGGGAAAGCGCGAGCTCCAGTGTGGGAGCAACCAAACTTCCTTATAAAAGCGGTACATGTTCATAATAATAGGTCTACCTTTGCCGAAGCTTGCACGCCGCAAGTTTGGCTGACTGCGTCTCCACCTGTTACTCTGCACACGTTGTCATCGGGGTCAGTTTCAGTCGAAGATGATGAACTTGTTATCCCACCTTGGACGGACATCATAAAGGGAACCTGGTGACAGATAATAATTCACCAGTGCAGATGAAGAATATTATAATACGCACACACGCACACGCACGCGCGCGCACGCGCGCGCACGCACGCAGGCAGGCATGCAGGCACGCACGCACGCAGGCACGCACGCAGGCACGCACGCCCACGCGCCCATGCACGCACGCCCACACGCACGCACGCACGCACACACACACGCACAGAAATGTATAGCATCACACCTGCAGTTCTAAGTTCCTAACTACATTTAGACATTGCAAAAAGGATCTTAGTCGGAGTATTTCTCGCTCCCCAGGCACGACTTCACCTCGAAACCTTTTTTTAATTGCTCCAGCAGTTGAGGCACAAGGCGTCACAGTTGTCACAGGCTGAGCTCAGTCGCAGTGGCCTCACAACTCAAACCTGCAGCATGCACGTCTCCAAATCCGCATTACCGATTTGAGCAGAGTAAAGCGGGGTTCACAGAAGCTTTTTTTGCGATGCGACGCGCGATGCGACTGCCGCGAAACCGGGAAATCCCCAAATCGCAGCCATCTCGCACCCCACGTACCTGCCGCAACTGGGCCATCGCAGAACTTAAGCTTCGCTCAACCTTTGCGATGCGACAAGCGATTTGGCGTTAGATTTTGACCTTTTCTACAGCAAAGTTGTACAAAGGTTCAAAATTGCCTATAAATTTGTACAAGTTGTACCAAACCGCGCGAATATCATGGTGACATACCCAAATCAGCAAGACTTTGTCGCATCGCCGACTTTTTCTGTGAATGGTATTTCGCGAAATTGCATCGCACGCGTCCATCGCAGATCCCGTCGCATCGCGTGTCGCATCGCAAAAAAGCTTCTGTGAATCTCGCTAAAAAGAAATGCACCAAAAAAGAACAGGAAAACTGGGAAACCAACAACAGCAACCCCAGAGCAAAAATAAAGTCTAGACACTAACTTACAGTGGCAACACACTGATGGCATGTTGGATCACAATCTGACGAGCTGCTCCCATCGTTATTGTCAGCACCGCCATGGTTGCTCACATTGATATCAGCTCCTGTAGCAATGGTCATGTTGCAGTGAGATATTCCAGCCTGCATTCCACCAGGCAGGGCTCCGTAGCAGGATGATGCGTTGCTTGCTCCTGGTGGTGCACTACTTCCACGTGTACCTGATCCACTGGTTGCAGTGTTCGGATCTCGTGTGGGAACTGAGCTTTTTGACCCAGAGCCTGCCTCTTCCAACGCAGTGAGCGTGATTTGGCCAATGGCCGCACATGATTTGCGACCCATTTGGCAAACCAGCGTGACTTCAAACACTTCCTCATTACAGCCAATGCCATCTGCAGAGCAATTAATGAAAGATATTTATATCACTCCAGTTCTTCGTTGGCCGTCTTTAGTTCAATTGTTCACCCTGAGTGCAGGCAAGAATTTGATGATTAAGTACAGTAAACGTGGTGTAAGCGACGTCTGGTTTTAGCGACCACCTGCTTTTAACGACTGTTTTCCCATGCACGGGCAGTTCTACACAGAAACTGCACCGGATACAGGGACCACCTGCCTTGCACGACCAGCGCCTAACTGTTAGTGTACCAAGTGCCATACTGGACCTGCACACAGCGACCATAACTAACCAAAAGTGCCATCTTGGCTGGCAGGATTGACTGCAATAGGGCTGAAGTGCGCTCTGAACCAAGTACATGCAGTCCACAGAAGTGACAATTGACAGTACAGGATGCATTGCATGTACTTGAGTGAGGTGTGCTTTGCCCACACGAAAGTATTCTATGCTCCACAAATGTCAATATGATGCCGCGTGTTGCGGTGAATTTTCAATGGCTATATGTCGGCGCGTGAAAATGTGTTGAGTTGTGACAGGATCCCGCTTGGCACAGGGTTCGCTAAACACAGGTTTTACTGTAACGGTTCAGACTAGGTATTGTGCAGGTGGCGAATGAAAGTTTGATAGCAACAGTCGTTTGGGATACGATAGAGGACGATAAAATTTGAACACCTAGCAAGTGCCCACCACAGCAAGACAGCAGGGGAGTACCTGGTCCCCCCTCCTTTAAAGGGGTGCACGGCCGCATCATGAACATGTATGTGTATGATGGCTGGTGCATGCCATTAATGGTCATAACGTGCATGCTGAACCCGCGTGTAGGTCGAAATGTTTAGGGGGGGGGGGGGGTGCACGTGCCCCGTGCCCCATGCGAGCTATGCGCCTGAGACAGCGTGTCTTCTTAGTAAGTTCTTACCCTTTGGTATGCTTGGCACTAGTGCTGTGAGAATGTGAGTGTGCCTGGAAAACTCAGCTGCTTGACTCCTCACAGTGCGCATTGTGGACGTCAGTTGAAAGTAAAGGGTATGACCTTGCGACGCACAGCCTGGGATAAACCCGTTGAAGTGTGCCTCCACATGGAATTGTCGCTGAAAGTCAAGAACACGCAGAAAACACTGAAAACGGTGATGTGTGCAGCACGCGTAAGCTCTCCGGCGTCGGGCACTACTGTGTGACATTGCTGCCGCCACAGCCCACACAGAGCCTTACCAAGGTTTTTTTTTAGTACAGGGTGTACTCACCGAAAGAAATATGGCTGCCAGATAAAGGCCAATTAAGTGCTGGTCCCATAGAAAACCTATCCACGTACTGCAAAGACACTATATCATTCTTGGTATATGCCGCTAGGAATGCTAAATGCATGTATGAAAGTATCGCCTAGGCACGTGCGCAGTTCGGCCCCATAGCTGCGCAGGCCGCGACGGTCAAAGCGGGATTCACAGAAGCATTTTTGCGATGGGATGCGACGGCCGCGAAACCGGGAAATCCCCAAATCGCATCCGTCGCTCAGCTCACGCAAATGTCGCAAATGGATGATTACAGAAGTCGAACGTAGCTCCACTTCCGCACTGCCACCTGCGATGCGATGTGCGATTTGGACCTTCTTTGCACCAAAGTTGTACCGACGGTTCAAGAGTTGCTTGCAGATTTGTAAAAAGCTGTACTTAGCCACGCGGATGCCATGGTGACGTACCAACCTGCAATGAGCTTGAGACATATCAGCAACAGGCGACGTCACATCGGTGACTTCGTCTGTGAATGGTATTTTGCCGGTTTGCATGGCGCTGTGGTGTTGTGGATCGCGTCGATCGTGCATCGCATGGCAAAAAAAGCTCGAGTGAACCCCGCTTTAAAAAGAGATATCATCCGGTACTGCCTTCGTGCAAGCAAAATATTTCATTATTTTTTTACCATGTCCCATGTGACCACTATACTTGACCCCTCTATATACATCTCTAGAAGTTGACTATCACAGTGTACCTGACGTATTTGGGTAAAAAGGAGGGTCAGTTCAAAGGTCAAATTCAATGCAGTATAGCAATACTGCGCAGGACAAACGGGGTTTCCCCGTGCAGTATCGAAAATACTGCATACGCTGCGAAATCATGTCATTGTTTGGCTCCATATATGACGAAAATCACGCAGAGAATAGCAAATTAATGGTGATTCACTTCATGGCAGCATCGCCCTTGTACTTACATTGAATCTTTCTTTGCCTGGCGTGAGGGTAACATGCTCTGAAATAGTGAAAGAAGAAAGCACGCAAGCACAATCATGTGCTATCAATGAGACGTAGAATTACATGTACATGTGGGAATAAAAGGATTGTTCTTGGTGACCTCGCAAGTGCCAGAATTTTTTTCGTAGTGAGCCCCTGAGAGAGAAATTGTTGGTACATACAGAACATCCATGGGGGTATCATCCCAGATTGAAACTGTGGTGACTCCATCGCATATGCACTCGGTAAGCAGGGACTCAAGACTACAAACTTACCAATTTCTTCAGGCTTGATGATTCTACCAATGAAACTCCTGACTCCAGCCGAGGTTTGAGTAGCTTCGGCACTCATTGCCTCTGCTTGTGTGGTGGTCGAGACAGGCACTGACAGCAGTGGTCTCTGATTAGGGTGTCCCTTCAGGAGTGTAGCAAGACAAAGACAGAAGAGAACGGGGTTTGCAAAGATAAGATTATACTTATTGCTATCACCCAAGTGATCATGTTATTACTTGTATTGGCACATTTATGGTAGGCCTTGGGACTGTGGGGATGGCCATATCAAAATTTTAATTTATAGAAAAGAAAAGGACCAATGAACTACAAGTTACGATATAATGTTCACTAACGCCAACAGGTACTAAACAATCAGCTCATGCGATAACATTGCACGACACCGACCGACGGTACTGACGGTCTACAACTAACTGGCCATCAGCTCTAGTTGTAGAACGTCAGTACCGACGGTCAGTGTCGTGCAATGTTATCGCATGACCGGATTGTTTAGTAACTGGTGGTGTTAGTGCACATTATAGTGTAACTTGTAGTTCCTTGGTCCTTTTCTTTTCTATAAATTATAATAATAATAATTACCATACTATCGCATCACACATTAAAATTAATTTTGTTTGCACAAGGATTTCTCGGAAGAACATTTTCGAACAGGAGTACTTTCACAAGTTGTGGCGTCAAAACGTATATTACAGCTGAAAAGATACCGTGAAACCGAAAAGATCGGTCTGAATCAGGGCTCGAATACGGACCGCCCTTATAAAATTAATACCAAAGTACAGAATGCGTGATACGGGGGGGGGGGGGGAGGAGCACTCAATAAGCTGATTCACTAGTTGAAGTGGTAATGCAAAACAAGAACAAGATGTGCAAAGCACTCACCATTCCATGGAGTAACAGTTCATTCAGCTTCTTCTTGGACTCTGGAGCGGCAAAAGAAGCAAACAAAAAGGCAGCCCGGGTGAAACCATTTGAAAATAGAACTACCCCGGCACAATCATGAGGTCATAGACACTACAACAGGACATATCCTTCAAGTGACAGAGAGTTCGAACTTCTCCACGACAAACACGAAGGCCCAAGCGAATTGTGTGGAACAGCTTCACTGCTCCATCGAGAGATAGGTAGTGCAAGGGTGCACCAACTACATTCCATTCACAAAAAGACGAGCGCTGGTTCTGGTGGGCACCCGTACAAGTAAGTTATTTGGTGATTTTTTCGTGATTTTATCGTACACGGTGCAGTGCCACGAAATTTGAAACTTGAAAAAGGGTCCAGAAGGTACCTCAACCGGTGTTCGAACCTGCACAATGTACCATGGCAAGTGGAGTGAAGTGGCCTGGATTTTCATGCTTTTTCCCAATTCAGTGTTTTTGGGGAAAAACCTGGCCGAAATCCTATTCTTGTTATGGCTTGCGTTTTGGAGAAATAGATTTCATGAACATAATTGGAAGAGCATTCCATGGGATTGCAAAGAAATTGTGAAAAGCTCACAATTTAAAAAAGAAAGGAGCGTATGGATACAATGGATACAATTCAAGAGTAACTGTCCACCACTGTAATTATATTATCATGTGACAGTCAGCAAAAACTAGGCATAACACGGACAGAGTACTGAGACCGTACATTCGACGACCTGACACCTAGCTCCAACACATCTCCGAAGTGCTAACCAACAGCCTTCCAACTCGGAAAGTTCTAGTCTAAGGTAGACCCAAGAGGGGAAGGTAAGCGCAATGAAAATGAGTACAAGCTGATGTCCCACTGGAACAAGGAATGTCGATTGTTGCTGTCACGAACATTACGGCGAAACGTACGTAGTGTGAAACTACTTGTTTCGTAGTCATCTAGTCCATCACATTGTAATGTATGGGGAGTGCTGTGAGAGTTTGGCGTTCAGTTTTGTACAATTCGTTTTGGCAAAGCTTCCCCTTCTTTGTTTATCTATGAAATTTCTGAGCCGCACAAGTTGGGCGGAGTGCTGCTTTGCTGCTTCGAATTTTACTTAGACCGCTTTCTCAAATATCTTACTGGTCTCGGCATCGTCCAATAACAGTCGCCATTCTTTGTTCCTGTGGGACTTAATATTGTGCTCATTTTCGTTGCGCTTACCTTCCCCTCTTTGGTCTACCTTAACTTAGAACCTTCCGAGTTGGAACGCTGTTGGTTAGCACTTCGGAGATGTGTTGGAGCTAGATGTAAGGTCGTCGAACGTCTCAGCACTCTGTCAGTTTTGTGCCTAGTTGTTGCACTTTCTGACTGTATTATTGTATCTAGTTACAGTGATGGAGAGTTACTCTTAACTCGTTTCCATATGCGCCTTTGCTTTTTACATTTATTATTGGCTCAACATCTGAATTGCAAAAAGTTCAAAATTTGACCCGTCAAAAGCTAGGATATCATCTTTTTTATGAATGGACTGTAGTGTAGCAGGCTCCATTCATCATTTCATAAGAGAACATGCATGCCATCAAACACAATAAACCAACCAAAGAGAATCACCCAATGCACACACACACACACACACACACACACACACACACACAAGTCACACAAGTCACACAGGTGCACCTTGTGCCCACGCGACAGAGGAGCAGACTCAGCGAGGGGTGAAATAGGAGATGTGACCTCGACATATGGGAATGTCCTCACCATAAGACGTCAGATCTCGAGATAAAGGTATCTCCTTGACAAAGGGCAGTGGGTTCAACAAAAGGTTGTGACCTCGACAAATGGGTGTGACCTCGACAAAGCGTTGTGACCCCGGCTAAGGGTTGTGACCTCGACAAAGGGTTGTGAACTCGACAAAGGGTTCTGACCTCAGCTGAGGGTTGTGACCTCGACAAATGGGTGTGACCTCGACAAAGCGTTGTGACCTCAGCTAAGGGTTGTGACCTCGACAAAGGGTTGTGATCTCGGCTAAGGGTTGTGACCTCGACAAAGGGTTGTGACCTCGACAAAGGGTTGTGACCTCGACAAAGGGTTGTGACCTCGGCTAAGGGTTGTGACCTCGACAAAGGGTTGTGACCTCGACAAAGGGTTGTGACCTCAACAAAGGGTTGTGACCTCGGCTAAGGGTTGTGACCTCGACAAAGGGTTGTGAGTTTGACAAAGGGCAGTGACCTCAACAAAGAGGTGTGACCTCAACATTGTCTGCTTACCTTCGAGATGAAATTGAGTTTCAGACCAAAACAAATGGTCACAGTTGGTACGTACAGTGCATGGCAATAACGCACAGTCCGTACATTATGTATTTTAACCCTTTAAGAGCCACAGGAAATTTCAAAATTCTGCATATTTTCGTGTTCCTTGGTTCATAGCTTCAGTTCTACTCACTCAATCCTCACAATCTAGGGCTTCCTGGAACGATCTCCGCGAGAGGAAGAGAATGAGGTCAATCATGATAGCCAGCACACCGTCTATCCAGCGCTAGATCGCAGCGACAGTATGAAAAATGCCCCAAATGCGTCCAATGGCGTCCCGCTCCAGATATTTCATTTCACTCGATCGTGGAGTTCCAATTTTTACGCTGTGTACTCTTGACAATCTCAACAGTGAAAGCCGTGCAAATTCGAGTAAACCAGCGTGACGAAAAGTTTCAAAATTCTCAATACTAAAGTCGCACTGCGCGCTTTTGAAATTGCCGCGATCGCGGCTCAACGTACGAGTGATTTATCTCAGGAACCGTTGCTCGCAGCGCTTCGCGGATTGTTTCTCCCGACAGGTGAGAGTTTTCTCTTCGCCCTGGATATTTCGATCACTGGATTTGAGCGAGATTGGACTGAGTTACGATCTTTTGAAGTTTTGTATTTGAATGCGTCGTTTACGACGCATTCAAGTATGGGGCGGCTCTTAAAGGGTTAATTGAAACTTTTGTTCTATTCAAACGAACGAATTGCCGCACTTTGAACACTCAAATTTCACCCCAAAAAGAGGGTGTGGTTTATACTCTGATGATCAACTTAATGGTGATAAAGAGGATAGATGTCTGTATTTCATGGCAAAAAATGGGGGGGGGGTGCGGCTTATACCCCGGGAAATACAGTACATTCATTTCCCCACTTAACTACCGTATTTCCCCGTAAGTTAGTTCTCCCCAATGACTTAGTACCCCCCTATAAAAAAAACACTTTCCACTGCCGAGGTTATCACCCCGAAAGACAGTCCCCCCCCCCCCCCACGAAAGATAGTAAGTTCGTACCCATCCTACATGTACAGACACCGTACAGTACATACATCATATGCACGGACACTAGAGTTGCGCAGGCTTCCCACTGCGTGTCATTTACCCCCGATAAAAAAGTACTCCCCGAAAGATAGTACCACCCCCGAAAGTTAGTACTCATGTGGCTGCTAAGTTCGAAAGTTAGTACGTACTAACTTACGGGGAAATACGGTATTCACCTACCCTCTCTTTCGGTGGGCTCAACGCTCGGTCTTGATGACGAACGTGCGCGTCTTGGCCTTGATTTTGACCTGGTGGCATCAAGCAGCCCTGGCTTGGCCTTGTTCCGATTCACAGCTTGTTGGAGGTCATGCCTAGCTTGCTCTGCCACATGCTTCTGTTCAGCAAGATGTCGATTGTGTTCAGCAAGGCGGGCATTCTCCTCAGCAAGGCGAGCCTTCTCTTCGGCAAGACGAGTTGTCTCCAGGGCCGCAACACGATGGTGCTCAGCCTCTTCCTCCTTCAACGTCAGTGCTTTTTCCAACTCCTCATTTTTCTTCAGGACTTGTAGAAGTCTGGCCATCATTTCAGTGACATTGTTATCCGACTGAGGGGACGGTGTAGCTTTGCTTGCGGCCACGTCATCAGCTTCTAAAGAGAACAGCAATAGTCACATTGACAAAGAGGTACAAACAGTGAAAAGAAGATACTGTAAGAGTTGAATCTCTAACGGGGCACAAAGTCTAGCATCTTTACAAGAAAGAATCCATCGTTAAAACTCCAGAAATGTTACACATACCGTATTTTGCGGAGTATAAAATGTACTGGAGTACAAACTGCATCCCTATTTGTTTGTCACGAAATACAGACATCTACCCTATTTTTCACTGTTAATTTGATCTTTGGAGTACAAGCCACACCCCCTTTTTGGGGTGAATTTTGAGTGTTCAAAATGCGGATCGTACTCCGGAAAGTACGGTATGTTATTCCTTTTCTCCCCTGTACTGGAGAAATAGAAGACAGGTGTATGGTGGCAGTGCCATTAAACTGTGTCCCCGCTTAGTGGGAAAATTGGCAAATCGTTAAACTTAAAGGGGAAGTTAAGGCAAAAATTAAAATTTCACCCGTTGTAGTCTTCGGGGTGCTGAGTCGAATGGTCTTGGTCCGAGAAAGCTGGGACGCTCCCTTCCTACTTGAATCCCAATCGAACTCGCGCACTTCCACCGAAACTGGGTGACTGCGCCCTACTAGATGGGGATTTGTATGCAAAATGTCACTAAAAGCGCCATTTCGTTCTTATAAAAGCACGGATGACCGCGATTGGCCCATATGTTGTAGTCTTTTGGACGCTGAGTCGACTGGTTTTGGTCCGAAAAGGCTGCGATGCAGCGTTCCTCCTTTATTCCCAATCGAACATGGTTGAACAAGCGGTCACGTGCTCCTGTGTACACCAGTCACCTGGTCACCGTGCCTGCAGGGTACAACTTACTAGCCTGTTTGACCTTTTTTGGGTGCAGTCCTGTCACTCGAGTTGAACTCGAGTTGAACCTTGGTGTGAAAGTTGTCGCCTGCTGGCGCGGTGACCAGGTGATTTGGGCACCCAGGAGCACGTGACCGCTTCTTCAACCATGTTCGATTGGGAATAAAGGAGGAACGCTGCATCGCAGCCTTTTCGGACCAAAACCAGTCGACTCAGCGTCCAAAAGACTACAACATATGGGCCAATAGCGGTCATCCGTGCTTTTATAAGGAGGAAATGGCGCCTTTAGTGACATTTTGCATACAAATCCCCATCTAGTAGGGCGCAGTCACCCCGTTTCGGTGGAAGTGCGCGAGTTCGATTGGGATTCAAGCAGGAAGGGAGCGTCTCAGCTTTCTCGGACCAAGACCATTCGACTCAGCACCCTGAAGACTACAACAGGTGAAATTTTAATTTTTGCCTTAACTTCCCCTTTAAGATTCGTCACTCTTTCAACTCTTACAGCATTTATCAGCAAGGTACATTGACAACAACACTTATATCCCAAAGAGAGACAGGAGGCAAGAGAGATGGGCAAATGAGTGAGCAGACATCCGTCTGGTAAGCGGCAAAGTTGCCTGTCCCCAGACAGAGTTCACTTTGTTTCCCACGGATAGAGCCCTTTAACTTTGGTACTTTACTGTTTGTCAGTTTAAAATGCTTTTTAGTTCACTAGACGTCATTGTGACCGGTTCGGCCAGTCACTCAAGCTATGTTCAAACAGATAGCTGTAGTTGTCCGGAGATTGGACAAATACACAAGAGAGAGTTTGGAAGCTTTGTTACAACTCTGAGTTTCACGTATTACTACGATCATCAGGCGAGTGTTGATTGGACAAATATGTATTTCGAAATTTTCATTGCTATCAGGATCGGTCTCATTTTCTCTGTGCTGCGCTGAGGAGTTCACAAAGAACGAAACAGCATGCTGTCCGCAGATTGAGTATTTTCGCTCCTGCTCTTGTAGTAGTTGAGCACTCTCATGTGGGGTAGTGCCATTGCTGTTTGCATTACGCAGAGCTCACTGACTTGTCAGTTTGAGCACTCTGGCAAGGTACATTCGGCCCTGATTGAAATCTGGCTTTGGAAATTTTGTTTTCATTGCTATCAGGTTCGGCCTCATTTTCTCTGTGCTGCGTTGAGGAGTTCACAAAGAACGAAACAGCATGCTGTCCGCAGATGGAGCTCACTGACTTGTCAGTTTGAGCACTCTGGCAAGGTTTGTTCGGGCCTGATTTAAATCTGAAGAAATTATATTTTCATTTCTATCAGGTTCAGCCTCATTTTCTCTGTGCTGCGCTAATGAGTTCACAAAGAACGAAACAGCATGCTGTCCGCAGATTGAGTATTTCGAAATAGCAACAAGAAGAAGAGAATAAAGACTGTGTAACTCGTGTACTCTCAGCACTCAAAGCACATACTTGTTGTTACGTAAGTAGTTATCAATATTAGTTCATTGTCTCACAAGGAGAAGAAGAAGACCAGGCAGTGCGAGTATGCGCACAGCCTATCCATGCATTCCTACGGTGTACTATTTATGTGTATACAAATTACGTGTAAAGTAGCCATGCTACACTATCCTCCTCCTACCAAAAATTCACGCCCTCGTGAATAGAGAAAGAAAACAGAAACATAAAAAATAAAATAACTCAGGACATAGCAAAATCAGTAAACCGAGCAGGCAGTCCAGCATTGCGAGCAAGATGGGCTCTGGTTGACTGCGGGAGCGTAGACGACAGCGGACTATGGTCGCTGTCGAGGGCATGTGGGACATACTGAGGCATCACTGGAGCAGCAGGTACTGGATCCTCCAGCGGCAGGGACGCAGATGGCGACGGCAGGTGAGCGAGTTTCAAGCGGTTGAAATGCAGCGTCTTATGGCGACCATCAATATCGACAACGTAGGACGTTGATCCAAAGACGGACACAATACGAAATGGACCACGCCAAGGGCGGTGGAATTTGCGGTGTTCACCAGGGTGAATGACAGCATCCTTTACGTAAACAAACTGGCCAGCAGCTAATGGTGCACCCTTGGTCCGGCGGTTGTAATGTTCTTCCTGGTGCTCATGGGACAGATCAGCGAGCTCTCGAGCTTGAGCATGTACAACACGCAACGCAAACTGTAAATGGCGAACGTAACTAGTGGATTCAAGAGACGCTGGTTGTGGCAAACCAAACACAACATCTGCCGGCAAACGCAATTCAGTGCCGTACAACAACTTAGCAGGACTGTGACCCGTGGACGCATGGACAGCAGAACGGTACGAAAGCAAGACAAGAGAGAAGGTAGCATCCTACTCAATAGATGTAGGGGTGATGTGCGCACGGAGTAGACCGAGCAAAGTGCGATTGAGCCGCTCAACAAGTCCGTCACCTTCCGGATGGTAGGGAGTAGTACGGGTCTTGTGAATACCCAGCAGACGACATAATTCAGCAAAAAGCTTAGACTCAAACTGCGGACCCTGGTCGGAATGCAGTTGCTCAGGGGATCCAAACCGTGCTATCCAGCCATTGACAACAGCCACAGCGACAGCTTCGGCAGTAACGGATTGGAGTGTAGTAGTAGTAGTAGTAGTAGTAGTATTCTTTTATTTTCCATCGGAAGCCTCAACAGTGATGAACACAACTCTTAAGAGGGCCGATAACAGGGTAGAGGGGTGTGGGGTGAGAAAAAAAAATAATAATAATAATAAGAGATATTTAAACTAAACTAAACTGATACTTGGAACAATAAAGCAGCAGTAAGCAGTAAGCAGCAAACACAGGTATACAATACAAGCGATGCAGATCAATGAGGCCGTTTGCTGAAAAGAAGATCTAAATACTTCTGAAAAGACGCTGCGTCTTTAAGCATGGTCATAATGGGATAGTGCAAGAATTAAAGAGATGTTTTTAAAAACGAATTTAAACTAGGAACGCAGTAAACACAGTTATACAATACAGGCAGTGCAGATCAATGAGGGAGTTTGCTGAAAAGAAGATCAAAATACTTCTGAAAAGACGCTGCGTCTTTTAGCATGGTCTGAAGGTGCTTAGCAAATGTAGTGCGGTGCTGGGTGCGCCACTCCACAGGCAAAGAATTAAAGAACAGGGCAGCACGATTTGAAAAGGAATTGACACCGTCAGTCGTCCGGAATTTAGATATTGCAATAGCAGCATTAAAAGAGCTTCTTGTTGTCCTAGGGCCGGTTGAAACTTGAGGGAAAAGGTCCGTCAGATTTGGGAGAGGGAAAACGACATGATTAACATGGATAAATTTAGCAATGCTACGAATAAGGTAATGTTCAAACGGATCAATCGACAATCTAGCTAACAGCGGCATGACGTCCTCTTGTAGTTTCGAGCCACAAGCAGCGCGTACAGAACGACGATAAACGGACGAGAGTCGCTGTCGGTCCTTGGCGGATAGCTTCATTGCAAAGCAAGAGCAGCAGTATAATAAGTCAGGCAGGATAACCGAGAGGATAAACTGCCGTGTTGCCTTCAAACTTAGTTGCCGAAAACACCGTCGAAGAGCGCCAATTTTCGTGCAAGTCTTCCTAACGATAAAGTCTATGTGACCAGACCAAGAAACATCACTGTCTACAATGACTCCCAGGATTCTCGTGCTAGACACTTGAGTCAGAGGCTGTTGGTTAAAAACGATTGGAGTTGAGAGGGGTTGAGAAGACTTAGAAATCATCAAAGTTACAGTCTTTGTTGTATTAATGCGCAGCCCAAGCTCGTCTAGATCCACAGAAATTGCAGATAACGAATCAGTAACGGTAGCGACGGCCTCAGCTTGTGTACGTCTGCTGGCATACAACGTCATGTCGTCAGCGAACATCGGGAGCTTGCAAGAAAAGGCCTCTGCTGTCAATGGGAGCTTCCGTACATATATGTTAAATAGCACCGGACCCAGAATGGTGCCCTGTGGCACGCCACTAGTGATTGCCACCAACGGAGATGTTCCAGTGTGGGTAACCACCCGCTGTTGTCTGGCACAAAGGTATGATCGGAACCAGGCCAGGGCCACTCCCGAAATACCGACAGCTGCGAGAGCAAGAAGAAGCTGTTGATGCTTCACCATATCGAACGCTTTTTTCAAATCAATACAGACAACCGCCGTATGCAGTCCAGCGTCGCGCGAG